GTGGTAATGGACCTGAAGTTTCAATTAGCTGGTGTTAACGCTATTTCATTGGAAAGATCTGAGTTTGACTAAGTCAGTCCTGTTTTGTATTTTTCTTTATTTTATCTTCTCTTGCATTTTGTCTTGTTTTTGTATTTAAAATAGCGAGAAACCATAAATTCAGTTTCCCCAGATACTTACATCGAAGTGTTCCGTTTATTTTCAATATCACACAATATTGCCGATGGGATTGACAATCAATGTTAAGTCGTAAAAGCTGACCTTCCATATCATCGAGACTTCTTTTGGTCTATATATGAATATAAAAAACACCAATTTACCAAACATTGTCAATTCTTATTCCCATTGGACTACTTCAATCATTGGTTAATATGAAAAATGACGGTAGCCGATCAATGAAAAACTACTTTTTTTTACACTTACGTAAAGATACCAGTTATTGTCGTAGTTCCACTTAAATATATTGAATGTTTCCATAACCAGTCCACTACTGAGTTGTCTCCAGGTTCCACTGCATGTAAGATTGCTACTTTTGTTGGTTACACCACAGTTTGAAGATGACTTTAATGTTGATAGCAAGTATGATCCTGTAGACTTCTTTCTGGTTATGGTTATAATTGGACTTCTAGCATTTCTATTCTCTAATATCAATRAACAACCTAGAAAATAATGCAAGTCAGTTTTGTTTATTTAAGGTAAAAGATCCCATAGTCATGATCTACTTTTAGATCATACTTCTAGTTAGATCTAAAAGTAGATCATACTAAAAATAAAAAAAACAAATAATAATTGGGCGTCACCGACTTCGTTTTGGCGTCAGGGTTCACCCTTTTTACGGTAAAAACGCGCTAACAGCGTAAACACTGAAAGCTGTCAAAATAGGTTATTTTACACTGAAAACAAAATCGTCCCCATTTTTAACGGAACTCTAGAAAATAACCAAATAAAGAATTATYATATGTAATCTGTGTTAAAAAAATTCTATAGATATACCAGTATTTTGGAGCAATTCAAAACTTTAAGATATATTATAGATTACAATCATAGATGGTTAACTTAATATTAAGCTTGTCTGTACCTTAGACGACAGACGCTCTCTCGCCCCAGTGCTTCCCGAACGACTGGTCATGATATAGGTTTTGTTATCACGAATAGCTTTCGCAAAAGAATTTTTCTCCCTTTTGCGAGTTTCCCGAATAGATTGATTTTTTAATCCCATGACGTCGCAAAGAAAGGAGATCAGGAGAGGAGACAAGTGAGCATTCAAAGACAATAATAATATTTCAATATTGAAGTGGCGATAAACATCCATGAGCCTCTAAATCTCATAAAATAGACTGCAGTGCGATTATAAATCACGCAGAGACTTTAATAAAATTATGAATCAATGGAATATCAAGCAACTTACCACTAAGATTATGAAATTCAGTATTGTCTATACACTTCCAACTGTTGTAGTATGCAAAAGTACTTTTTTCCTCGTTACATTCACATGTGCATCCATTATTACTGCCGACAAGTTTGCCACCCATATTAGTACACTCTACTGTTACATTGTCGGCAGAACACATCGATGGAGGTAATACGAACTGGTCTGTTAGAACATTCCATGATTTCGTCATTCTGCGTTGAATGGAGTATTCCTCTGCTAGAAGTCCTTGCCACAACGATAAAAGAAAGGCGACAAAGTTTT